GGGTCGGGTGTCTTTCAGGAGGGAAAAAAACACACACACAGACACAATGAATCGTCGATCCCAACAAAGATATAGGAAAAAATGGGACTTGGGCGGGAAGACAAAAACCAAGGAAATATGGGAAAATACGGGGAATATTGTTATTTGTGTGTATTTATTTGTGTGTCCTGGGGCCCCTTCAGTCTTGTGGGAGGCTTCCTGTGGCCGGGCCCCTCTCCTGTAGGTTTCGGCACTTTGGGGCGTGCGCGCGGCCAACTTCCGGGCGCGGGTGCGCCCAGCCCAGCAGGGGCTGTGCCGTCGGCGGCCCTGGAGGTCGGCGGAGTCCACGAAGCCAACAGGTCCCGAGGCAAGCGGGTCCGCTGACGCCTACAGCCGGGGCGTTGACCTAAGGAACCCTAAATCAGGAACGAGGCCCTTTTTTCCCACAAGTTAAACTTCGGTTTCCCATCGAAAGCCTAAGCAAAGCCAAAGGCGAACTGCAGAACAACTAAGGAACACCGAGCCCCTCCCCAACGAAAAGGGTTCTTTCCTCAGCGCCCCGACTGTACTCTGACCCAGTGGCATAGGTCAGCCTCGGGCCGTGCGGAGATCGGCGCAGTCCACGAAGCGGACGGGTCCCGGGGGAAGCGGGTCCGCTGGCGCCTGCTCTGACCCGGTGGCATAGGTCAGCCTTGGGGCGTGCGGAGATCGGCGAAGTCCACGGAGCGGACGGGTCCCGAGGGAAGCAGGTCCGCTGACGCCCACTCTGGCACGGCGGCATAGGTCAGCCTTGGGGCGTTGGCCCTCCTTCTCCATCCTGGTGTCCACCGCATCCTTGCCCTGTGAGTCGCGGGCCGCCCCCCGCTGCGCGCGGGATAAAACATTGACTCACGAGGCAATGCCGCCTCTTGACGCGGCTGCTTCTGGCGTCGGCGCCCCAGGTCCACCAAGGTTGTGCCGTCGTCGGGAGCCTTGAGGCGGGGGTGACTGCAAACGGGGGTCGGCCAGAGCGCCGGATCTTGCAGGATCCTGCAGGGCCAAGGGTGCACTGACCTGGGCTTGCGCCGCAAGATCCTGCAGGAACTTGCAGGATCCTGCAGCGCCTGACTGACCTGGGTTCGAGGTGGCCTGGGCCAGTGCGTCCCCACCGTCGGCCGCCCTGGAGGTCCGCGAAGTCCACGAAGCAAGCGGGTATCGAGGGAACTGGGCCCTGAGGTGTTTCTGGGTTTTCGGGCCCTTGGGCCTCTCACTGTCAGGCAGTTAGTATCGCCGGTGCATCGGCGATGCGGCTCGATGCGGAGCCCGGTCTTCCCCCCACACCAACGTCGCCGATGCGTTGCCGATGCGGTGCGATCTTCCGACCCCATCTACTTGGACCCCATCTAGGAGGCCTCTAGAAGTTAGACCCAGGAGGCCCAGGGGTCCAGGACCTGCTCCTCTGTGCCAGCTGGAGGTCGGTTGGGCGCACCTGGTCAGAGGAGGCGTCAGCCTGGCCAGTGCGCCCACGATGTGCAGCCTGGAGGGCGGGAGAGCTGAACGAGCGTCTTCTGGCCTTACCGGCAAGGCCGGCAAGCCCCCTCCCCCCCCCCGGTTCGTCTGATCAAGCAGTGGCGAAGCGTCCTGGCGTGCTTTATTATAGCCCTACCAAGCAATGTTCTACGAACCTTTTGTGGTTTTGTGGTCTGCACGAAATGTTCTTAGAACATGTCTGGCCTGGGCTGTCTTGTTTTAACAAATCGGGTCAATGTTAGAAGAGCATTGTTTTTCTTCTTAGAACATGTGTGGGTTCTAAGAACACTTCGTGGTAGGCCTATAGAAATGCTGGGACGGTCGGTCCCTCCTGAGTCGTGTCTTGACTGTCCCGAGGCCCGGCGAGAGCCCCCAGAGGTTGAAAACGGCCAGAAACCCGCCGCTCCAGTCTCTCTTGATCGTCGGATCGATCCTGTTGAACGGGGCCCGTTCCAGAGCTTTCCGGAACGCTCTTAGAGCGTTCTGGGACGTGAGAAGGAGAAGGCCTTCTCAGATGGCTCGGAAGTCCCCGGGCCTTCTGAGAAGTTCTCTAAGCCTTCCCCGAAGACATAGAAACAACTTCTCGGACGGCGCGAGGGCTTCTGAGAAGCCCCGCTGCTTTCTGAGAAGGACTCCTTCTCGCTTCCCCCCTCGCTCGCCGCGGATGCCCGACCCGGGTTTGCCTTGGCCCGTGCTTCCGCAGGAGCCCCGCCCTGGCTCCCTCAGGAGGGGAAAAAATACACAGACGCAATTGATCGCCGATTCCCAAGAAACTATGGGAAAACAGTATGGGCAGTGGGGGGGGTGGGAAGACGAAAACCCAAAAAACATGGGAACATATGGGGGATATGTTTATGTGTGTATGTATTTGTGTGTCCTGGGGCCCCTTTGCTCTCCCCGCCGTGTCTTCTGCCCCGGCCCACGGCCCTCGGCCCTCGGCCTCGCTCGGAGGTGCGAGGGCCCTCGAGGGGCCTCTTGGGAACATCTTGCGAACAGCAACAACAGGCACAAAGAAGGGCATCGTCGATCGAGCGTCGAGGGTGAGGAGGTCGAGGAGGAGGAGGACGACGAGGACGACGACGACGACGACGACGACGAGCGTCTTGGGACATCTTGCGAGGGCATCGAGGGCGAACAACAAACAGACAAAGCACGCACGACACCGAACCAGGCACGGGGAATGGACGCCCGAGCGATGGCCAGTGGCCGTCCACGCTGGCATGGATGGGACGAGAAGCGTCCGCGCGTCAGCTGCAGAAGGGCCGCATCGGATGCCCTCGGGACGTTTTTCGGCTGCCTCAGGGGTGGTGGCTCTGCCGAGGCTTCCTGCACAAGGCCATCCGAGCTCCGTCTAGGAAGCAGCGCCAATGATGCTGTAGCGTGGCTTAGACGGCTGGGGATGTACAGTCGGGGCCCTGAAGAAGGAACCCTTTTCGTTGGCCAGGGGCTCCGTGTTCCTTAATTGTTTCGCAGCTTGCCTTGGATTTGCCTTAGGTTTTCGATACGAAATCGAAGTTCAACTTATGGAAAATAGGGGCCTCGTTCCTTATTTAGGGTTCCTTAGGTTAATGCCTCGACTGTAGGGGCCATCGTTGGCACGATGCTTCGAACGAGCTCTCCCGAGGAGGCTCGGCAGATCGGGACGATCGAAGTAGGTACGGAAAGCACGGGCAGCACCACCAGCAGCAGCAGTCCCTGTTCATTCTGAAAAGGACTCGCTGTCGGTGTCGCCGCGGACGGTGTCCATTTGAGACAGAAGGCCACTTGCCCGGCAGCGGCCGCCGTTGGTTTTGGACAGCACTTGTTGTTGGGCATTGTACCAATGTGTTCCGCACCCATTGCAGGCGTGGGCCCGAAATGGGTACGGAAAAAAGTGGCCGTTCTGTGGCTGCGAAATTTTCCCGTACAGGTTCTCCCCCCATCCTCAACACAGTCGAGTTTGATTAGTAAGTCGAACTTGCCAAGTCAAGGGTACCTTTGTGTCCTATGTTTCGCGACCCATGTCTTCTACATCCCTATGGCAACGTGGCCGTTGGAAGGGTCTTGTGTCCTCTCGCGTGTCCGCTCCAAGCAAACTCGATTGTACGTCCCACTATCGATGTGGTAAGTTCTGCCTTTTGCTTCCCCCCCCCAGGGCCCCAGGGATGGGGCGGAGCGACGAGCAGCCGCAGAGTTACAGCGGACGTCGTTCACAATATCAGAGAGAGCGAGAGAGAGAGAGAGAGAGAAAATCAGGGAGAGAGATAGAGAGCGAGGCCTAGAGAAACGAGAGACGAGAGACAGTATACACCTATAAAGGCATAACATACATAGGTA